ACGCACAAGTTAAGGTCTACGCAGGCTCGAACCCGTAACTTGTGGACAATGAGCCAGAAACGAGGCCACCAACCGGACATAAAGAGATGAAATTGGACGAAAAATTGTAAACACAGCAAAATATCTTGTCATTCCCGGTCATAAACCAACCTGCATGGGTCCCATGCGGGTCCGTGCATAACATTGTAGTCACATTAGGGCGGTTGATTGACTTTCAGCTGTCTTGAGGGACAAACGCTCGATTGATGGGTCAGAGAATGAACTATCGGATAACACTTGAGAGCCGAAATGGGTGACCAGGAAACCAAGCTCGACCAAATGGCGGCGCCACCGATGCCGTATCCTCTTCAAATTTCCTATCAATACGTGTATTTTTACCACGTAAACCAGCAAGTCAGCGCTGACTAAGTCGGTGTATTTTCCACTCTAGTCTGCCATTTCTTATTGAGATCATCGATGTCCGCATTCTAGGTCAAGCTAATCGACGGATGATGGTTGACCTGAATATACACCGTAGCTCCGATACACGCACATACAAGACTGATATCGAAATAAAGCAACGGTTACCGGGGTCAGATTCCATGGGTGAATCTCGCACACACTTCGCCTCCATGAGGCAGAACCGGTGACTGGTATTTACAATGATAAACGCTGTGGTTTCTGCGGACCGTATGGATAACCTGCTACTGTTACGCAACCTGGACCGATCAACTTCCCAGAACAAAAGGCAAAGTCCTCTGGCAAAAGCTCTATTGAACACCCGGCAAAAAGTATACACAGGTAAATAATGGGGTCAAATAAATAGTACATAGGAGAATGATATAGCTGAAAGTTCCTGGTTTCCAGTAAAACTTGGTTGGCGGCATCCGGTTCCGATCTCTATAGGACAGAAGGACCAGTAATGACTTGCGCTGCACCACCCCAAGTTCCATTCAGGATAAACTCGAAAGAGTATGACCGCGAGGTAAGTGGATGGGAGCCACGTTACATCAACGGAGCCAGCCTATTCTCCTTCAACACGCACAATAGTAGCTTTCCTGTCTATCTATGGGGAATCATGCGTACCAGAAGTACACAAGGCGGTGGTAGGGCTGTAGTCCGTTCCACAATGGATGGAACCACTCTTTGAGCCTAGCACGGCCACGAGGACGGTGTACCTCGCCACCGGCAACCATTCAGTCTCCTGGAGCCAATAATCGAGATGGTGGGTCATAGAGTGGTAGTCACCTTCTCAAAATTCACATCAAGCGCAACCACACCGGCGATATCAAACAGTCATCAAAGAATCTGAAGGAAAATAAAGCCACAAAATGGACACGGAATATGCAGCAGAATAACAGAACTAATCAAATCAGTAGTCTACTTGCAAGGCAGCTGGTCGACGTCTAGAAATCGCGTCTACTGGGATTTGGTGACTGATTGCTGATTCATACGCCTTTTGTTTGTCGATCTACTACACTGGGGCCCAGTGCCCCCATGAATTCAGCCTGCATTTTTGCAATTACAGTACTTCCCAGAAGCGAATAAATGAGCGGTGATTTTTATAGTGGCGAGTCAAACCCGCCACGTCACAGTGTTGTTAAGCGGACATATGTGGGTTTTTATAGGGGAAACGCTTGTCAGGCTAACACCTACCAGTTCTTGAAACATTGCCGAAAACCTTTTCGCTGGAACTGGGCAAACTCGAACCACCCAGCCGACACCACTAGGAGGTAGTTCGGCAAATCAGCCACGTTCCCATTACTTTGCAGTGTGACGCCGTATTTTTGAATATCGATCATTTCGTTTTCTGACTGGTTCTAACGGGTGTCCGCTCAGCTATTACTTCTGGTGAGGTATATCGCCAAATAATAAAAGGTGCGTTCCTCTGCCTCTTGTGTGCGTTAAACAGTCGTTCACTGCACCAGGCACTCTTCTACTGTTTTTCGTTGGCTGCGACGACTCTACATCCAATTTTTCTCATCTGCTGCTCCTGCTACCTTCCTCGATGTGTACCATGTACTTAGGAACTAAGTGCTCCACCTTAATTCCGTGCAGAAAATCTTCCGGTTTGTTCGAGCATCTCTAAGAACGCCGCGTAGCAGCCATCATCTTTATTTTTGTTAATCCTATGATACGCTGATATGACATCTGGCGAATTAATGATTTGTTAAGGGATTTTCAAAGGCCACATGTTGACTATCATGAGGAAGTTCGTCGCAACGTTAAGGCTTTGCTTCACTCATTGTTTCCTGCTCAATGTAGTCACTTTCGTTTTACAGCTTTGCATGGGACGTTTGAAAAGTACCTCAGCACACCCGGAGCGGAGGGATTCGGTGTTGCTCTCTCCCATCACTGCACTCTGCGGCGCGTTTCGTTCTTGTTTGGACTCATCAGGTAGAAATAGCCTGACTTTGGAGTGGATTTAAGCACATAGCGGTTGGCAGCTATCGCCATTATCACTAGGTCAGTGAGCTCCGCGAGCAGTGTTTGACACAGCGGTTAGAAGTTGCTTGTCGAGTTTCGGAGCATCCGCCGTGCATCTTAGACTGCGTGTCGCAATCCAAGTCACACGGCAGGTGCTCCAAAACACGACACCTCCTTTGATGCACCCACCGTGCTCGCTGGCACTTCCTCTCTTCTATTTTTGTGTCGTTTATTATGTGGCGCCTCTGTCTTTTTAATGGATATCTTCCGGCTTGCTAAATGCACTTCCTATTCATCCTCTATTTTACAGACTAAAGCGAAATGCTCGGGTTTTTATCTTGCTACTCCTCCTGACTCGTCATTCTTTGCATTTGGATGCTAAAACTCCTGTACTTCAAGTATGTTTACTTTCCACCGGCCGATCGGTATAAGGCTTGTCTGCCCTGTCGTCTACAAATCACCGGTTCGACTTGACGTAGGGGTGGGTGTCATCACAATATCCGTGGTCTGCACGCGACTTTGGTGATCACATGACAACGAAGTGCCTATGCGACTCACTGCTGATGCTTCTCTTTTCGTTCAAGTGTTTTCTTTGTTCGCCCTTCGATAACACGTTACCTGAGCATCAGTTAGTCCGTTTCTTATGAACGAACTTCGCTGTATGAAGTGTGTCAGAAGGGTTGCAGGACTTGGGTAACAAAAGATTTATTTCAGACCACAACTTCACACTAGGAGTTTTCCTCTTCAAAGTAACCCCCTAGAGCAATTGTTCCCAACCTGGGGGTACTTAACCCAAAGAAGTGAAATGGGATCTTACGAGGGGTTTAGATAACTACAAAAGTTTGGATCATTGCTCAGTCACGAAACAAAATTATTAACAAAATAATCTGTATCAACTCATCCAACTACTCACGTGATTTGAAAATTCGCCAATTAAATTCTCGGATGCTAAAACCCTTCAAACTGGATGAACGGATATTTTCAGTTGTCGAGGCGGAAGCCAAAGCACCATTTCTTGGACTTCGCAAAGACAGCACAATGAACATTAGTTTCGAAAACGCATAACCAGCAACATTTTGAGCAAATATTGATGGCGGGTATCTGTTAATATAGGAAAAGGCATTGGAAGTACTGACCCCGTTCACCACAACTTACAGGGGTGCAAGTGGAATTTTGATAATTACAATGAAAATAGAAGCAAGGAACCGATTTAACTTACTAAATGGTAAGAAATTGTTATAGCTAAGCAATATCATCAGTCTCATTAACACGTTATCTCTTGATTTAATAACAAAAATTGCTCAAAAATAGACATTTACTTTTCGAATGATTGTAGTTTATTAAATAAAGAGTTTATTTTCCATAATTTAAGTCGAAAACGCGCAACGGCTACTCGGTAGTTTGTTCTACAAACAAATTTATTTGGGATAATTGTTGATTTGAAATCCCATTTAAGGGTATCATCACCAAGTTTGGGAACCACTGCCTTGCGCTCTAATGCACACCCCCCATCCTTCTCTGTCACGCAGACCTCTACCCCTGGAAGGATTCCTCCGGGATCCGCCGCAGCTTCACCGTCATCCTTTTTTTAAATTCCGTCTACACCTTCAGAACAAGTCCCCTTACTCATCCTGTTGAGCTTGGGGAAGAGAAAAAGTCACCCAAAACCAAACTTACCAACAGTAGTCGCCGGTGATAAGTCATGTACCTTCGAGTATGACCCGGAGACCAAACACCAATGCCTTCAGCGGAAGAGCCAGGCGTCACTAAGGCCGAAGTAAGCACGATAGTCTAAGTCAATGATCACGTTGATCACATTCTGTAATGTGAGAGGGGTCGTCCTCTACAAGTTTTCATCACATGTCAGTAGATCAACCAACAGGTCTACAAGGAGATACTTCTGCGTTTTCTACCTTCAGTGCGTGAGAAGATGCGAGAGTTGTGGCAGTTCTACTCTGGACATCTACACTATGATAACGCTCCTGCTCACAATGCCTTGAGTATCTAACAGTTCCTGGCCGAGAGGAACATTGCTGTGGGTAAACATATTCTCTACTCAAATAAACTGGCTCCATGCGATATTTTTCTCTTCCACATGCTTAAAAAGGACATCAAGTGGACTTGTTTTGAATATGTGGACGAAATCGAAATGATCATGACGCGGTGGATCCCGGAAAAATCCTTCCAGGAGTGAATGCAAACGTGGCAAAGAAGGATGGGGAACCGTATTAGACTCTAGGAGAGATTACTTGAAGTTGTAAACTCTAAGTGTGATGTTTGGATGTGAAATAAACTTTTTCTGAGACCAGTCATGGAACTTTTCTGATACACTCCTATGATGGTAAAATACCTTGCGGTTTTGTCGAACCTGTATTTCACATGACCAGCTTCATTCCTCACGTCATTTTTCGCCCTCTCAACCTCCGAACTACCCCAGGCACTTTTACGTCTCATATTGGACAATGAGAATTGACCCGCAGCTTCTTACCCTCTAAATAATTCACCTTTAATTACCCCATAAATAACCCGCAAATTGCATGCCACGATAACCGACGTGTACTCAACTTTTCTTGTCTGTGGTACTTTTCGCACAGCTCATTGATGGCCTGCACTTCCTTCATCGTTGTGGAGTCATTCATAGGGATATAAAGCCGGCCAATTTGCTTCTCACCCCGGCTCCCGGTTGCGGTCTCAGTCCATTGTACAGTGTGGCCGATTTCATGGACACCACAGATACCGCCGAGATGGACGGAAGCAGGGGTTTCCTCGGACGTTCTCTATCAGAGATCCTGATGGCCTCGCGTGGATGGTTGATGAAATTGACTGATTTCGGTGTTTCGGCCTCGTTATCCACTTTCATTGCTACTGACGAAGTACGTATCTTTGCACCTCGAACATTCTTTTCAACTGATCTCGTTTTTTTGTAATTTGGCTACACAGACTTGCTATCTGCTTCATATTGTCTGATCGGAACGTCGTCTGGTCCTTGGCATCTCTCTCGTCAGTCTCACTATCAGTTTGCTCTCACCACTATTTTTCTTCATTCGTTATACTGAGCTTGTTCTTCACCTGCTCCGCATTTTGAATTTTCTTCCCCCACCCGATCAGACGGTTGCTGTAGAACAGTGCAGCTATGTCTGTCTGCTGACCAGAACATGTAATTTGCAAACAACTCACCCGATCGCCATTCGCAACCTCACTGAGCGTGTGCTACCCTGTATGTTTGCCACAAGTTTGGCTGACTTTCTTCTATACTCAGCACACCCGTACTCATGTATGTCAGTTCGGGATTTCCATCATTTTCGCTGTACAACGGCACGAAGCAACTTTCTCCCACCGGGAGATCGGGATGCAGTGTGACAGACTAATGGAAGCCATCTTTCAACTCTTTGCGACGCTCGGTACTGTTTGACGATTCGCATGTTAACGCTACCTGCACTTGTTTCATCTACTCAGCTTCCTACTTCTATCTCTTACGTCTGTAATGCCATATAGCTCCATCGCAATGAGATTGGGCCTAGGCGATCCATTAATATCTGCTAGGTGGTGCCTTTTACCTCTTCAGAGTCACTCATATCAGCTTGGTCAGTAGTTAGAAGCCAGACAAATTCAGTCTCCTGGTTGGCGCTTGGAATGGGGGTGGCTTCTCATTCCTTAGAACGGACCCTCTGTAGCCTATGGCCTATTTCACGCTACCTTACAATCGGGTTTCCTAAGCTGAAGGCTTTGATTGAAAACTCCAATCGTTCTATGTAGATCTAGATAGTCTTGGAGTACAGTGGAAATTTCAACTAATTCCTTGATGTTCTAATCGTCGCAGTAGATAATCACTGACGCCCTATCTGCTACATCGTGAGAGGTGGCTAGAAGCGAGAACGCTATTGCTCAGACCTTCCTGTTTTCTTACTCCCCATCTTACGCTTTACCATCCTGATCGTTCGGTTCCTACTTCACTTCTACCACCCTCTTTTCATCCGTCCAGTTCTTGGCCCTCCCGCATCTTACTTTCACAGGCGTTTTTCATTGAGGATTCAATCTCACAACGTCGCTCCGTTCCAATTAGCAAGTCAGTCCAACAAAATGGAAGACTGCTGTCCTTTTGCTTCTGTTTAGAGCTCCCAATCCTTGCTACGACTGGCATACCTCATCGTGCGTACTTTGTCACAGATTTGTCAACAGGCAGTACTTTCTCGAACATATATGCTGCTTACCCGAAACCCGACTACAAGACTCGAGATCTGTTCTCACCCTACGATCCCCTTCATGTGACACTAGCACTACTTTCTCATTGCGTTTGTCCGGTGATGACGCAGCTCTGAATGTCGGTCAAGCCGGTGTGCGCATTGCTCTCGACCCCCGAGCTAAAGCCTCTGTTCGACTAGATTGCAATCAGTAGCTGGATACTCAGTGTCAGGTTGACTGCCTCGTTCAAAGCTTCGATGCCAATGAACCAAACAGTGGAACAGTGGTTTATGACGGATAAAAGCATTTGCTTGACAAGTCCCGTAGGCTGGTCAGGCAGTGAAGCGCAGAATCAAAGAGTACACGTACGAAAACTCAAAACAGCAGGATTGTGGTGCATCAGAAGTAAGATTCTTGAAATGGAATAGTGCCATGCCGAACCGTGCAACAAGGAATAGAAAATGTCTCATATACAAATATTCGCATTGCTCGCATATCTTCCCCGATTTAGGCGCATCAATGTGGATTATAATTTCAATGTAGCTAGTTTGCGGGAATACATTCCGTTCACACGGAGGTGAGTATGATATTAAGCGCTAAAATGGGGGCACGGACAACTGAGTTTCAAAAGGCGTTCCACAGTTAACCCACCCGAAGGGAGAAGTAAATTCCTTGTCAATCCAGACGTCTCTATTGTTGATTGAATCTTAAGCTATTTCCTCTCCTTTTTAGTATTCGTGCTGTTTCAATTGGTGGTGGTGAATGAGATGGCTCAGTATTTTGTGTACCGCTGTGATGTCTCCGCACCGCCGCCGATAGCGGGAGGTGACGCAAGCCTTGACATTTCTCGTTGTCTGGCTTTTTGGAGCCTCGAGTGCTGCAGGGTCACGCTTTATTCAAGGTTGCCAACCATGGATAGCGTCTTCGACATCGGGACGCACCTAGGCATTGGACGCCAGAGAGATATGGATGAATGAAAACTCCCGAATGCCCTCTGCAAGAGACTAACATACAGGTTACGTCATTTTACGGCGGATTAAGAATATCTGGAACAACTGACCTCGTCCTGTACGAGCGCACCAAGGCCGTGTTCCCGAGTGGTGGTCTGCAGATAGTGTCGGTAGCGAATGTGAAAAATTCGCTGCTTGTCCACATTGAATAGCAGCGAGTTCCTCACCGACCGTTTCGGGACCTCATCAAAGTGACGCTAGAGGAACTCGTGATCGTCCAATCCCTTGATTGCTGGCTAACTCTTAGCATGCTCCGCTTAGAGTTGAAACTTTGGGGTAATAACTCTTATTGGATCGTTTTTGACGGCTAGGAGCCATCAAGGTCCGCGTACCGACTATTGCGGTACACTGCACGACTCCAACTGGGTAGTACAAAGATGTCCGGACTCCAACATCCATTGGCGCTCGTGGAGGAAGTTATCGATGCTTCCCAATACTTTATCACCAATACCATGGTGCCGAAGCTTGTTGAGCAGTGTACGGTGGTCGAAGCGATCGAACGTTTTTGAGACGTCTAGGTAGATGACATCGGTTCTTGTCCCCTCGTCAACTGCTTTAGTCCAGTTCTCCCGTGCAGCCTCACTAATTATTTACTTTACTGCGGCTAGCTCCTGCCATGAGATGATCCGGCTTCATCAGTGTCGCAGATTGCAGCTGCCCAAGCGCGGCGGTCGGCGGCAAACTCTACGCAGATACTTATTAAATGACTTTTCCCGTGACGTGCACCATGCACAACCTGGAGTCCCAGAAGATCACCATCTGATTTCACTGCAGAGAGCCACGTTTTCAATTGTCCTCCACGGCGATGACACCGACCCTGACAAGGCGAGGGCGAAATCACGGAGGACGTGACCGAACCACTGAAGTCTGCAGCATTGAGTGAGCGCTGAGAGCTTCAGAAGACCGTAACAGCGCTTGCGAATTTCATTGGTGATACGCTCATGCCACTGCGTTTTCAAGATAAGCCTTAGACACTAATGGTCGAAGACTTCCAACTTCCGGGTGTCTTCGGATCGCAGTGGCCATGTTTCGCAACCATAGAGTAAAATGGCACGAATTATTGCTGGAAATACTCGGATTTTCGTTTTCAGACTAATTTCCGTCCTTCGCCACAACGTGTTTCTCAGTTGTAAGAAGGCTGTTCTGACGCTGTCAATACGATTCCAGACCACCGTAGTAAAGCCAATCTGAAGTGTCTACACCAGAGACTGATTTGTCGAGAGTCAAAGCCGGGTATTCGGGATTATGACAGACATGCTTTATCTCTCTGGTAGTCATGTAGTGTGCGCATGGCTGCCGACATCCAACGGGGTTCTGACATTCCAGTATCCGATGCATAATGGCTTCCGGGGATTGTAGGACCCGGATAGCTTACTTGTCACTCTGGGCACTGGGTCAGCGCAGAGCGCGTCGCCTACCGAGAACGCCGTAGCATGAGAAGAATCGCGGGTAACGGACATGTCCTTAAGTTTCGTGGGAATTATGGGTACGTATGAGGACGGCAGCCTCATCCGGATTTTGTTCGAGGGTTCATCTCTAGGCTTTGCACAGCCAAGTGCTACCTGCAAGGCAGCAGGATCTGAGAAATTGTCTAAACTTCTGGCTGTTGGATCAGGGGTCTATCTCTTCCGCTCGGTTGTCAGGACTGAAGTTTCACGCGGGTACGAACTCGCCAAGAATGGTATTCTTGGCTACCCTCGCTTGGTTTAGCCCGTCTGCCTGACGGTTGATCGGGTTTGGCCACTGCCGCGTGCAACCAGCTTCTTGGAGCCACAGGTGAGAGCTGGGTGACAGGTGGAGATTAAAGATATGCGGACTACTCCGGAGGGTAAGACGGGTCCCCTACCGGAGGTACTACTTCTCCCTGACACCCTCGTTAGTTCGTGGCATATGATCGATGTTGATGAAGACCGTGCTGCTTCGGTGCGTTGATGCCGCAACTTTCCAGGTGGCCCATCAGTGCGTCTGCGATGATCGCTTTCATGACCTTGAGCACGGCAAAAAGCGTTGCTGGGTTGTAATTAGTTGGCTCGGATCGACTTCCTTCCATGTGAATAGGGATGGTAATACCACGTCTCCATTTGGTCGGAATTGTACTACTGTGTTCAGAAAGAAACCGAACTTTTGTGGTAGCGAGCCAACCAGCAGAGTTAACGCGCTGCGGCTACCGAACATACGTAGAGATAACAAACGATTTGATGTCGCCCAAAGGTGATGCTTATGTATTCCGTGCAAGTGGAATATTGCCTCATCGGGGAAAATAATGGAGTGAATATCCACTTGATTCAAGACCCAGCTGCAAAATGCAAACCACCTCTCCGGATCACATGGGTTCAACATTTGCACTTGACGTGCACCATACCGACGAAATTTTCTTTCCTTCAAAATCCGCTGCGCTGCGTAAGGGTGTTGTCACAATTTTGAGCAATTGTACGCATGCTGAGGTCCGCGCTTTCCGTCACTTCGCGGATAACAGCACTAGCTGAACTCTCATCCATTGTGGTGCGAGGACGCCTCGTAATTCGGGCGTTGCACACACTACCAGTGTTCTCGGACTTCTTCATCAGTTTTAACACATACCGTCCGTTGACAGGCCACATTCCCGAGGTTATGTTATTGTACCTTCTTGCTGTCTCGGCTTCATTAAGCCCGCACTCCCAATATACTCGAAGAATCACCAC